GAGTCACAAACATACGAAAAGTTATATTTCTTCATAAAGCTTAGGATTGTGCAAAATACTAAGACATAACTGTATGAAATATGAAGAAAAGATAAATACCTTTTTATGGCGAAACTGCAATCCTTGTACAACTTCTGCATGGAATCTGACAATATATGCATATGACAGAACCTCGTAAGCGCCATTGCCTTCGACTTACAGCCATGAACCCCACACGTATTACTGATGACCACATTCCCGTTGTTCTCTCCAATTCGTAGAGTACCATCCTTATTACTCTTATCCTCATCTTCCTGAAAAATACTCATTCCAAACATCCAGCAGTACTCTCTATGGTTGAGCTTTACTTCCTCCATTAACGACCAGTAACAACCTCTGTATATACGCTGGAGTTACAGCCATGAATCTCACAGGGCAAAGAATCAACTGATGTAGGTAATAGAACTACGAGCTATACTTCCAAATATTTAAAAAATCACATCAGCAAAGACAAGAATATCAAAACCCTAAAGCTAAATATGTAACCACGCCGCAAGCAATAAACTCAGAAACCATAAATTTTGACTTTTAAAGATAAATTTTTTACCTGATAAACTCTATTCCAATAAAATTATTTCAATGTAAAGAAAATTTAAGAAATCATCTTCTTCACTGAAGCGTTTGTTCTGTTATTGAAGAAAAAAAATCAAAAAATCATCAGGCTTTGAATGTCTACGATGAACAACGAAATTTTGAAACTATTCTACAATTTGCTTTGACTAAAATTTGTAGTTTGTGCATTGATGAAGGAATACCTCACAAAAATTTGTAGTTTTGCTTTGTGAAAAATTTCAGATTTGGAGCTTCAATGAGCTGAGATGAGCCGAGCGTTCTTTCTTCATGAAATTGGGAATTTCATCAATGAGCTGAGAGCTGAGCGTTTTTTCTTCAAAAAAATTTAGATTTGGACCTTGGAATTTTATGTTTTATGACTTATTTTATTCCCAAATAACAATGTTAGCGGGCACTGGAAAATATTGGAGGGAATATATTATTTTAGTGAAAAGTTTAAGTTCACACTTGTAATGTGTTGTTTTTACAATTATAAAAATAGCATACTTTAAAAGTGTGGCCATATATGTAAATACTTGTTGCCAATTATATCATAATGTAACAACACTTATAAAGTGTAGCCTATACCATTAAAGAGTACATTGTACAAGTGTTGCCAATATTATCGAAGCCAAAAGTCAAAAATTTGGGCTACGCTTTAAAAGTGTAGTCAAAAATATTTTAGGCAACACTTTACAAGCGTTGTCTAGATTTAGTGTACCCGTAAGCCTAAAATATTGTAGTGATTCATTAAGTGAGAATGTCCTTTCACTTTAGAATCATCAACATGTGAGTAAACCTTTCACATTGTATTCGTAGTGTGTTCATGAGAATGGCCTTTCATTTAACACAACAATACTATCATACTCATAACATATCATACATAATCTTAACATATCATACATAGTCATATCATAACGTACATAGCCATATATATGTAAGGTTAGGAAAGAAGGATTTTGCATCAATACCACAATATACACAATAACTAACACCTCCACCTTTCAAGTGGATCATCATGGTCGTGTACATTTCATGCATAATAGTATGTAAAGGTGCATATGAGAACTAGCCTTTCAATTGACACCACAAATACCTCATAATCTTATTTATGCATGAAGTGTGTATAATTGTCATTCCATTAATATAACAACAACAGTATCACAATGGACACATTATACTCAAAGTGTTCATAGACATGCATATAATATAATAATCATACATACACCCCATATCTTGCATTCAAGGGTAATATTGAGTTAACACATCTAGCATTCAATACATGAAACATAGATATAGTCATAACCCAAGTACAACATTCATCCCATGCATAAACTCATATACTCATATTAGAGGTCATGTAGATGAAGTCTTCTCACAATAGGGCCATACACAATTCAACATACATAATGGCTTCCTTCTTGGAGCCTTAACACCCTTAGCTTATTCATTTTAGCTCTTTACCTTTAAGCCTTGTGAGTCCTCTTCATATTACAAGTCGTGCTCTCAAGCAATGTCTCACATGATTATTAAGTAATCCTAGTTCTCAAGGTAACCTAACCACTTGCCTCATTCTTGATCAATTATAGTCATATAGGAACATATAACCTCAATCCCAATATTACACAAACATGCTCATTCATATAATCCCTAATCAAGTTAGTTCATGTCTACAAGTTTTACTTATAAGCAATTCATGTCTAGGTGATTTAATCTAAGGCAATTCATCAAGAAGTTCACCATTCTTAGAAGGTTACATCTAAACCCACAATTTGCCTTTTTCATGACATAGCCCTAGGCCTCATCGATTCACCTTTGAATCATAGGTTAATCAAATATACATGTAGAATCATACTTAGATCATGCAATTACATCATAATTAACTCACATCAAATCAATTGGATCAACTTGTAAAACCATCTCATAATGTAAAGAAGAACAATAACTAGGATTGGGGGTCTCATGGATTCTTGAAGAATTTGAGTTAAAATCATATAAAATAAGTCTTATATTCATAAGCAAACACAATTCACCCTTTAAAAGTGACTTTGAAAGGAATTCGTGGAGTTGAGTTGAAACCCCAGCTAATTAAGTTAAAAGCTTTTGAAAGGGATCCTTGGGTGATAGCTTCCCAAGGATGAAAACTCCCATACCTTAGACATAGAATCCCATCAAATTCATATGAAGAAGCCTCCATCTCCACGCCTTAGCTTGGTCCCTTCTCTTGGTCTTCAATGGAGTTTCTAGAGAGAAGATTTTTGGAGGGGAAAGTAGTTGAGTTTTGATTTGGGGTCTTGGGATATAATGAATTAATGACTTAGTTTATGGTCTTATTAGCTTATATAGGTGATTAATTTACTAACTAACCGACCTCCTTTAACCCCTAATTAATTACCAAACATCTAACTAAAACTAAAAATCTTAAAAACTGGCAGCACCTACGCCCCTCCACTTACGAACCGTAGGTGAAGTTACTGGACGTCAATCACCTCCGTGGTTTGTACCTGAGGCTTAGCTTTGCAGGCCTTGACCTACGCCCATGACCTACGGGGAGTGAATCAATCTACTGGCAGTAGATGGCCATCGGTAGGTCACATATTTGACTGTTTTTTGTGAACTTAGGCAACCTTGGGGTTTAGGCTTTAGGGTCCCCCTCAAGGACCCTTGGTTGGTCTTTGGGGGGTCGTACCTTGACGTCTAACCCCTAAACACCTCAACCTAGGCTCGGGACATCATTTTACAACCTCAAAACCTCATGACAACTCAAAGACACACAAGTTAGGCTCTAGTTTCACCTATTCGTTTCCGTTAGACTCTAGCTTGGGCTTACTAGTTTTCCAGGTTGTTACACTAATAGTTGGCTCGGGTACCATGCATAATAAAGAATATTCATATATATAGTTGGCTCTAGTACCATGTCGGTACATTCTAACGATTGACTAAGGTACCACGCCTGATACATTGATTGTTTGTGTGTGGGTTTCGTGAATGAACCATATTGATTTGTTGCATTGTTGTTTGTCATGTTATCACATTTGTTATCTATTTTACTAAGTTGTGGTTGCTTTTCATATTTCGTATATTTGGAGCCGATAGATGATTCTATTAGTACACTGTGAATTTTGTGTACTGATGGTGTACTTGCTCTTTTGTTGTTGAGTATAAAGTATTTTGACGGTTACTTTGCAATCTAATTCTGACATTCGCGTTTCCTGAATTCAACGGTGAGTTGCTTCTTTTGGGATGCTACGGATTTCTCTTCTCTCTCTGGTCCATTTCCAGACTTAGATTGCTTTGTTCGAGGTTGAATCCTCATTTCTAGACTAGAGAGATGTTTTGGTACACGATTTTCAGTTTTTAAGGAGGTTATCTGTGAGTGATTGGTAACAATGGCTTTTTTTTATGAAACTTGTTTGAAACTTTTGAAAACAATTTCCTTATGTTGTGAAACGTTTTGCATGATATTAGATAGTGGTCCTCCCACCATAGGGGTTTAGGGTGAGTGTCTCTCATGACGATTTGGATCGTGATATTTTGCATAATTGAGTTCATCGCTAAAGTAAACTCTTAAAACTTCCTTTAAATGTAAAATCATAATTTTACTTTAGGAAATGAAAAACTTGAATCCCATTCAATTCACCTTCCAACATATGGTTTCATTTTCCTCTTGATTCATGATGCTTGTAGTTGAACGAAACCCTCATATGTCGGGATCAGTAACAAGAAGTTGTTTATACTTAATACGTTCAATTTGATCTGTATCTGTCTCAATTCGATTTCTTATTCAAGTATTTTCTTCGGCAAATTGTCCAATCCCTATATATTTTTTAATTCAATCGTAAATATTATGCCAGTCATACCTCTATTCCTTTCTCACCCTTTTAGTAGAAATGGGCCATTTCAAATAGGTTCAGAGCTCCGGCCCAAAATACGATTAATCCAGCATGGGTTACGTAAACCCTAGTAAGTTACCATATACATAGTCCACATCATTTTTCATTACATTGCATTTTCAGGATAAAATCCTTTTTATTGAGCAATCACCTAAGATAAAATCCTCTTTATTGAGCGGTCGCCTCCACTCGCTGACAAACATCTTGATGTGTGTGTCTCTTTTGTTAGAGTGACTTGTTTTTCTTAAAAAAATGTTATACTTATACAATTTCTTTTAGTTCTTAAACAGAAAGAATTTGGGAAAATTCAATTGGCTGAAGTAAATTTCTAGATTTGCAGATTTATCGACCTCAAGTTCGTACAAGGTAAATGTCTCTCTCCTGTTTTTTAATTAAATAATGTAAAAAATAAAAACAATGTACTATTAGATTTCCTAGCGTACTGGTTTGCAGTTTATTACTTTCGGCAATTTAACGGCACGAGTTCGAGCCCCCACTCTGCCTCTAAAACTTTCCAATGAACATCTAGGGTTTTTGTTTCAGGACTCTCGAAGCAGAGCCGCCCACATGAGTTCAAAATCAAATCGCAGCCGTCCTCTGGCGGCAAAGGCGATTCCTCCTCCGTCCACGCCGTTATCGGAATCCGATTACGCCTTCACCATAACCAGAACAGCAGTAGCGCAGATCTGCAGTTCAATCGGATTCACAGCGGCAGAAGGTCCTGTTCTCGGAATCCTAACAGACATCGCCGTCAGGTACCTGAGAACAATCGCTAAGTCCGCCGCGGATTCAGCCAACTCAGCATCCCGTACCCAGGCAAATCTCGTCGACACAATCGCCGCCGTGGATGAGCTGAGTTCCGTGAGTGGATTCCCCGGAGCATGGAGAGCTACCGGTTGCTTTCTCAACTCCGGCGCGGTGAAGAAACTCGATACATTTACGGAGGATTCCAAGGAAATTCCATTCGCAAAACCGTTGCCTAGGAAAATATTTTCAGTAGGAAGCAGAAAAGGTATGAGAAATGTAGGTAGTAGTAAGATTGAGTACATTGGAGGAGAGAAGAAGCATATTCCGACATGGCTACCAGTAATGCCGGTGATTGAGAATCACGAGAAGGAAACTGTTGAGAAGAGAAGAAGGGAACTTTGGGGATATTGTGCTAAAACTGAGGAACCAGAGAGGGAGAAGAAAGAGGAGAAAAAAACTGATAGTGGGGAAAAGGAAAGTAAAGGACTTGAATTGCCATTGAAGAGAGGGAAAGTGAGGTTTAAGATTGGTGGTGGTGGTGGGGTGTTAGGTGTGTGTAGAAGTGGTGGAATAGGTAAGAGAGTTTTGTGTGAGAATTGGAATTTTGATGATGAAAACTCATCAAAACAAGAGCAGCTTTGATGAGGTAATACAACAACAATAGTGATTTCGAGAGTAGAATATATGCAGATTATATCATACAGAGACTATTTCCAAAAGAAATTCGGCTCGACTTGATGAGGTAATAGAGAGGAACAAAATGAGATATGAAGAAAGAAGAGGAGTTGCTAACTATACTTGACTGTATTTTTTTTGGTTTTGAAGTTAGCAGGAATTGAACCCTTGACGTGTTGTTCGATAAAACAAAATTTTCTCCCCCTATTTGTAGACCATCTTCACTCCGGACTAAAATGGAGAGTGCAGCATCTATATTGATTATATTCTATGTAAAAGTGGTCATGAATTTCACTAGTTAATGTAACAAACAGAAACTCATTTCAGATTTTCAGTTTAAAGATGTTCATTTACTTTTATTTATCTGAATGGAGTGAGATTAGTTATGTTTTACTTAATTATGAGCTGATTTTATCCAATTAGGGGTTGTTTTGAAGGTGAATTATGCAGACATTAAGACATTAAATTTTGTATAAATAATGCTATGTTTAAGCGACTAGTTAGAATGTAAGTTATTTACATATAAAATTAATATAATGAGAAGTCGGTGTTTGTTCAAACTTTCGCGGTAGTCCATTCATTGCTTGTGTTGAATGAAAGTGAATAAAAATGTACTTTTCTTTAGTGCAGAGCCGAGTTCATGATTGTGGATTGTCCGTGTTTGTTCATACTGACTTCTATGGTAGCTCAACCATAGCTTATTCTGGATGAAAGTGAATACAAATACACCTTTCTTTAGTGCAGAGCTGAGTTCATGATTGTGAATTGTCAGTGTTTGTTCATACTGGTTTTTGCGGTAGCTCAGTCGTTGCTTGTTTTGAATGAAAGTGAATGCAAATGCACCTTTCTTTAGTGCAAAGCCAAGTTCATGATTGTGGATTGTGAATGTTTATTTCATATTGGCTTCTACGGTAGCACAATCTTTGCGTGTTCTGAATGAAAGTGAATACAAATGTATCTTTCTTTATTGCATAGTCTATGATTGTGGATTCGCACAAATTTACTTTTGATTTGAAACTTAGAAATTCGCATAACTACTATTTGTATAAGTTATGAGAATTTATAGTTATTCTATGCAGAATATAAAGTGGAATAACTAAATCTTGCATAAAATAATTAAATTCCCTCATAATTAATCTATGCATTACTAAGAGCATCTCCAACCCTACACTCTATTTTACTCTTCAAATATAGAGTTTTCTATTTTATCAGACAACCAACTCCAACTCAATTTTCTATTTTACTCTCTAAAAAATATATTTTCCTCTCTCCTCAATATTATATTTTTATTTTTATTTCATTCTTATTTTCTTATTTCATAATATAAATCCTTTATTTTTTTCCCCAAATAATTACTTTATATAACTAATTTTTCAACACATGTGTTGCACGTGATTACCAATTTAGAGAATATATGGCATAGTAAATAATATTGCTTATTTAAGCGAAGATTTGAATAATAAGTTTTGCACAAAATAATATTGCAGATTCTATTGTGAATGTTCTTTTGTTTTGAACATCAAAAAAATAAATCATGACAATTATCTAACTCTTAAGAAGTCTAATAATTTTGGAAATGGTTATTCGGAAGCATATATCTACATCACAAGAGAAATTGTTAACAAAAACAAATGTATTTAAACTACATCATGTTAACTTCTTATTTTGAAACATTACATATTAATGTATATATTAAGTAAAAAAAATATTATTATATCATCAAAATTGTTTTCCTCAAGTACTCGTGGTTATGGAATATACCTTCTTAGGATAGAACGATTTACTTCATCAGAATAGTGGTATCTCATATTTCGCTAAACTTCAAACTCACTCAACGACAATAAATCACACGAAATTTTTTAAAATGCAAGAAGAAGAAGAGCAGAAGATTAAAAAAAATTGTGGTTGAATAATGAGAGGAAGTCCCTTTATTTATAGTCAACAAAGGGTAGTATGAAAAAATGTTTTTTTGTATCTTATCTGAAAAGTCATGACATATCCGAGAAGTCACAACCCTTTGGAAAAGTCACAACTTATTGAAAAAGTCACGACTCATCGAAAAATCACAACCCTTTGAAAAAAGTCACAACTTATCGAAAAAGTCAGAACTCATCGAAAAAGTCACAACTCATCGAAAAATCACAACCCTTTGAAAAAAGTCACAACTTATCGAAAAAGTCAGAACTCATCGAAAAAGTCACAACTCTTTGGAAAAGTCACAACTCATCGAAAAATCACAACCCTTTGAAAAAAGTCAGAACTTATCGAAAAAGTCACAACTCATTGAAAAAGTCACAACCTAAGTTAAGGATATTATAGTAATTTAACATTCAAGTTAGGAGTTCATGTTTTTAAGGTAATATAGATATAGATAGATATATATTTGCATTAATGAAATATTTATCTCATAAAAATTAGTTATTAAATAAATAATAAAAATAAACTAATACATACTATGTTTATGTAATAATAACTATTTTGAAGCAAACTTCCTGACAATCTAATTCACAAAAGTAAAATTGATAAATAAAGTCATTCTTTTGTCTTGAACATCAAAAAAACAAATCATGACAATTATCTAACTCTTAAGAAGTCTAATTATTTTGGAAATAGTTATTCAGAAGCATATATCTACATTACAACTTATTGAAAAAGTCACAACTCATCGAAAAATCACAACTTATCGGAAAAGTCACAACTCATCGAAAAAGTCACAAATCTTTGGAAAAGTCACATCTCGTCGAAAAATGACAACCCTTTGAAAAAAGTCACAACTCATCAAAAAAGTCACAACCTAAGTTAGGGATATTATAGTAATTTAACATTCAAGTTAGGAGTTCATGATTTTAAAGTAATATAGATTTTCATGTGATAGAAAATTTTATTTTTTCAAATTTTTTATTTAATATAAAAATATATTTTATTCTTAATTTTTAAATAACACAAATTGTAAGAAAATATAATATAATATACAAATTATTGGACAAATTCAAATAAAAGTGAAATACAATACATAAACACTCAATTTTCAAAATTATTACGTTGCTCCCATAAATGTTCAATTAATGCATTATGGAGTTCAAAATGTGCATTTTTGTCCTTAAATTTTTTATGTCTAGCTAAAAATTATTCAAACCGGGGATTTTCATCTACCATAATTTCTGTCGTTGGAGTTGGAGCCTCTACGACATCTTGAATTGGTGCATTTTCACGTTCATCCTCAATTATCATGTTGTGCAGTATAATACATGTAGTCATTATGTTATGTATTGTATTGTTGTCTTGTATTTAAATTATCATATTATGTATTGTATTTTAAAATTAAAATTTTCATCTTATCATTTTAATTTTGTGTCTTTTTTATAGTGAAAATTAATAATTAAATCAAATTATAGTATTGACGAAAATTAGAAAAAAATAAAATACTATTAATTCGGGATGAAAGTACTAGTATATATTAAATAATATATTTTTAAAAATATTATATTACATTTTTTTTAATGAATATTAGATATTTAATTAATGACATTATATGTAAAATAATATGTTAATTAGAAATAATAATAAAGTTTTGAAAAAGTGAAATAGAGAGTGTGAATAGTAGTTCTCTATTCTCCAAATTTGGAGAACTACTATTCAACGCTCTAACTTTGAAGAATAGAGAGTGATATGGAAGTGGGTTGGAGTATCCATTCTCTATTTTACTTTCCAAATATAGAGAATGAAGAGTAAAATAGAGGAGGGTTAGAGATGGTCTAATACTTACATAACACTAACCAGTTACCAAACGAGCCGTTAGAACCTGGCTTTGGCTTTCACCAGTTACATGACTCAAATGTCCATATAAGGGTAAAGGGCAGGAATGACAATGAGGCGGTGCGGGATGGGTCAGTTTCTCCCTGTTAAAGTTTTGCTTTGTTCTACCACGTTTGTCTTGTTTAAATATAGCCTTGCCCTCTATTTAGCTTTGTTTAGCCGCGCTTCATTCAGTTCCTATTTACATATTCTTTATTTTCATTATCAAAATTTAGTATTTCTTTCTATCTAATCACTCTAACATTACATTTTCATTTCTTGTTTTAGTAATTTTTTAGATATATTAGTTGTTGATTACTTTTGTTACGGTAAAAGCAGTAGATCTATTATACTATATTTAAAGATCAATTAATTCAAACTCAAACCTTTTTTAACGCATTAATAAAAAATATCAGCAGTAAATTGTACATTAACTATGAATTAATTGAAAGTTCATGTGGCTGCTAATTACTTCAATTTACCCGTTGCAACATTAAATTGGACAAAATTTAATAGTCGCTAAAGTAGTAAGTGATAAACTATTTCTAAAAGCTCTGATCCACCCTATACCATCCCCATTTGTCATCCTTATATGAGAAAGCTTTGACCCTCCCTATCATGCCCCAATTGTCATCCCTATATGAGGGTGACATCGAGTATTACACTTTTATCGGGTGCTTCCCGTTTAATTTTTGAAAATAAAAGCTTTGACCCGCCCTATCCTGCCTCAATTGTCATCCCTATATGAGGGTGATATCGAGTACCACACTTTCATAGGGTGCCTCAGAACAATAATAGGAATAAATATTTAATGCTTGAGTACAACTGGAGCTACAAAACTCTTTCCTCTTTCTTTCATTTAGCTTGTAAACAGCCTGCTTATAGTCATTACATGAATGTAATACACCCAAGTGCATTTTAACAATCCTTTGGAAATCAATCACTTTACAATATGGTAAATGATCCAAAAGACAACATGCCCTTCTGCACAAATATTTTGGTGGGGCAAGTATCTGAGGTCCTTGTCACGTATTAAAGTTTGGCTATGTTGGCCGCCGAAGCATCTGTTGGAGCTGAATGACCTGCTGCTGTTGATCTGGTGGCAGTGCACTTAACTGCTCAGGAGTGAGACTCAGTACTTGTTGCAGCAAGGCAGACTCAACGTCCGAGGGAAGCTGTACCTGTTACATCCCATGCGATTCTAAATAAAGTATCAAATCAAAACAATAAGGGGTATTTAACATATTCACATCGAAGATTGTATGCATCGGATGTATTAGTTATGCATACTTTCAAATCAATATAGCAAGCAATAAAACAAATGGAAGTAGAAACATCTAAATTCACTTATCATTTGCAATTGATCTATCTTAAGTTCCTTCAATTGATTACAAAGAAACCTCAACACTCTAAAATTACCTGAGTAGCTTGTTTATCAGGGTTTGACATTTCTGCTGCAGCTAAAATTTGAGTCGAGCATCCTGACTGGGGCGTAGATACACTTGCATCAGGTAAGGCATAACTTATTCCATCATTTAGCCTTGTCGTTTTTGATGGCCGACTCAGAAGATCTAGATTATATGCTGCCCCTCTCTTCACCTCAGGCAAACCTGAAGGGTAAGCTGGTCTGGTAATCAAAGATGAATTATTAGGAGCCTGGGGTCGTTGAGAGTCTTTATTCGTATTATCCAAGACACCAGACACTACTGAAGGATTTCCCTGTTAATAAAAAAATAAAATTATACAAGTTCACATTGATGTCCCTTTGGAAGAAACAAACTATAACATCACTGAAGGTAAGTCTCTTGCAGAAAGATACATACTGTTCCATATAGATACTATCCTATGGACTTCCTATATTTTATTGTGTTTGGGAGACATCAAGTAAATTTTCCATGAGTAGAAAAGGGGTAAGGAGCGGAGCTTGTATTATAAAGCAACCTTTTGCATAAGATTCTAGTCATCTTCTTGTTTCATCCTAAATCTATTAAGAGAATCCAATATTTAAGCTCTCTTCCTTTCTACGGAAAATTTATTCTTTGGAAAATTACTTACTCAACCATTCAAGCATGACAATCATCCAAAGTAAGTTATATTGTCCTTATTAACTTATTTTCAAATCAATGTTCCCATAGATTTTATATTTTGCCAGCTGTGTTCGTTTGTTGCAGTTGTAGACTAACAGTAAATAAAGATATACACCTGAGAACCTTGTTCCAATGATGGGGTACGCATTGATGAAGGAGGAGGAGGATATCTTGTCTTTTCTGTCCCCAGCTGACTATTATATGTAAAATTCATGGAAGCAACTGGCCCAGCTTGTTGTAAGAAAAAAGGCTGCATTTGCTGCTTTACAGCAACAGAAGTTCCCACCTGAACTGTTGGATTAATTGACACATTGACTTGGGTTGCATTGATGGAAGGATTTCTAGAAGGCATAGGCAACTGACTTTGCAAAACTTGGTTCTGCGATTGTGCTAGTTGAGTCTGAGGCTGTGCCTGGGGGAGTAAACTAGGAGGAAGTGGGGGTAACCCAAGAAGAGACTGAGTTGACAGTTGTTGACTTTGCTGACTATCTAGAACCAATGGCTGCAGCTTAGGTGCAGCCGATTGCTGAATGTTTGGCGTCTGCAACTGCAAATTTCAAAGATTATCAGGTGTGGCTCTTTGACAAACTGATTCCTCAAAAAACAACTAAAACAGCAGCAGCAGTAGAATGCCCTAAATAAAATGAAGACGATATATGTGTGTCTGCTGATTTTCAAATAAAATTAAGAACTAGGCGATCCTTAACGTGATTCTGATACCAAAACAATAGGAATCAAACTCAAAAGAACAATAAAGGAAAGGAAACCTATATGAATTTTGAAAAGATACATTTTGACAGCTTATCTATATAAGTATATATGAGAGAGAGAGGTATTAAAACAAAGGAGCCAGTGAACGAACCATTGGTTGGGTTACCATTCCCAGTATTAGCTGTGCCTGCATTGGCAAACAAATACAAACTAGTAACTGTGTGGTTTCAATAATCATGCAATGTAAAAAGAAACAACAGTGATATTCTGATGCTGAGAACAAGTAATATGACACCCTTCATGTTGCAATAAAGCATGCTCAGCACTCCAGAAAAGAAAAACGGTTATGCAATTTGCAATGAAGAATAGATGATTGTTTTGAAGTCAGCAATAACAAAAATACTAAACAACAGCAGAAACTTGAGCATCTACCATAGGTTAATACCAGAAAAAGAGCTTTTGACAAATTTGGAATTGCTAGCAGCAATTGGCGTGTCTGTTCCTTGTTTTGTGTACACATTGCCTGTCATCAAAATTACAATAATCATGTCAAGCAGTTATCCACAAGGCTAGCATACTTGTGGGATTACACTGGGTATGTTGTCTAAGTTTGTTGCTATTTTATAATTTTGCAGCAATATTCAAGCAGAACTAGAAATATCATGAGTTGGAGACGTATGCAATCAACATCCTGACCTTGAACTCAGACATAACATCTTTCAGTTGGCTCCTAGACAATTTGGACATATGTAGTGTTAAAGGATCTATCCCAGACTGGCTGAATGAGCAACTACTCTGAGCAGCTCCAAGAGCTCCTGCCATAACGGCTGCAGCAGTCATAGCTACTGACATGCCTAATGGCTGCTGAAGTGCAGAATCCACAGGGACAGCTGGTCCCCCAATGTGTTTTTGGGGATCTGATAGACATTACCATAGAAAATGTTAGATTCTAATTTCAAAGAGAATAAAAAACAATTGATGATATGAGCCCCCCCCCCCCCCCCCTTTCTCTATTTTGCTTATTGAAAAAGAAAGGGTGAAAAGCAGAAGTGAAATTGAAACATACCAACATTCGCAGTCATACCAGGTCCGCCGCGACCCTGCCGAAAAGACAAACATGGTCAATTGAATAGATGTTATTAAAAATTAGAGAAAAGAAGCATTTGCTTTCCTTACATGCTAATTTTTTGTTCGTTTCTCTTTTCTCATTTGGTGGGGTTCAACAAAGTATTTGCTTGAGTTGGAAAAATTGACGTCCAGAAAAATAATGGTAATACGTCACAGATGAAGTTCTCTCACAATATTTATGCTTCTGCCCTTCTCTTCAAGAGGGGTTTGAATATTAAAAAGTGCTAGTTGCATCCTAATTTAGGAACAGTCTTCTGACCGGGCACAACTTTTAGGTAACAGTTGGAGTTTTGATGTATTTAAATGAAAGTGGATTTAACAATGTAGATGAAGCTAACTTTTTAGAGAATTTACATTTTAGAATAGAAGTTCGTGAAATTGCACCTTTTTTATAGCAAGAAAAATGAAAACTTAAACATTGTAGCAAATAATTCCTCATTTCAGTCAAGGAAGTATATTGCTGGCCTCCTCAGGTTTACACATTAACATGAGCAAGAGCCTTCTTTATCCAATTAATGCTGGGGGAAATTCAGTAGTTAATTATGATTTTGGGGTAAAAAACAGGACAATTTCCTGCTGCTTACTTGGGTCTACCAGTGTTTTGGACGGCGAAAGGCGATAAAAGGCAACAAGGGTCTGTCTCACCAGTCACCACAAGGCGAGGTGAGCGGCGAGGCGCTCGCCTTTTTAAAGTGCGGCACCATTTAATACCAAAAAATTAAAATATTTAATTGCATATGTAAATAATCAAAATCTCAATAGCAATAACATATTAGCAAATATTTCAATTCAAAAACTGAAAATAGATAGTACATACTAAAAGTCTAGAACTTGAATGAGAAAAAAAACATAACAAAAAGTCAAAACAAAGGTAGAAGTGATTCTAAAGTCTGAAGAAGAAGAAGGAAAAAGAACCAGAGGAAGAAGAAAAGAAGAAATATGTATTGATTTAGACTTCGGAGTTGCTGGAAAAGTCTGGCTAGTCGCCGGAGGAGTCTAGTTGAAAACCGTAAAATTACCTTTTAACTTTTAAAATCCTAAATTGGTCGCCTTTTCTTAAGAAAATACAAAAGGTGACACCTTTCTTGCCTTTCTTGCCACTTGCTCGCCTTTTGTCATCATGCTGTCGCCTTTTGAAGATTGCCTCGCCACAAAGCTAAAAGGCGATGAAGGGTCACCTCGCCTCTCTCCATTGGCGACGAGGCAATTGCCTTTCACAACATTGGGGTCTACATTTGGAGGTAAAATCATAGAGCGTCTGATGCGTGGCAAGGAGCAATAGAAGAATAGGGAGGAAGTTGGATATGTGGAAAAGCAGTACTTATCCATGGAGGAAGATTACCACTGATCAATAATGTTTTGGATAATGCCTAGGGGATTGGTCTAGTGGTAAGAACCAGCGCATGATGTTTTGAAGAGAATTCAGTGACCATTCCAATGATAACATGCTAAACACCTTCCAAACCCTGTTTGTTGGTGAAATCATGGGGAAGTAGATACCAGTTTTGAAAAATAACAAACATAAAAACATGAGGAAGTAAATGATCCAAGTTAGTTTTGGACATCATCGACTCCCTGATTCAATATAGGAGTCGCATCATACTTCTGTAATTTGAATCTTCTGTTGACTCTGTCAATGCAATTATCTTACTTCATCAAAAAGGTCTTAATTTAATTCAAAATAGAAAGTAAGACAGTTAATTCAAGATTGAAGGGCATCATAGATTCTTCCAACTGAACAAACTATATATCTGAAACTGTCATGATGAATACTTTACTTCAACAAGTTTTATGCGCTAATGACTAGTTTAGATGTCCAGATCAAGATAGGGTATCAAACAGAAAAGTTAGAGTAAGATGTGATCCCCAAAATCTACGAACGACTACGAAGAAATCGACATATGCAAGTCAGCTAGGTGAAACACTGTAGAGGCAAAAGTAGAATAAGTGAGCAAATTGCAGGTAGCTAAAATGGTTAAAGCACCAGATACCAATTTGTCATTAACCAGGATAGAAGCCAGTCACATTAATGCTGGATACCTTAAAAAAGAATAAGTTCATCACGAACCTAGTGAGATGCCAACACCACCTTCATCTCCCACAGAACCTAATGAGATGCCAACACCACCTTATATGAAATTTAAGCATCTCCACAACTCCACTAACACTGTCATGGTTTTGAAATAGCCAGACGCCAGTTGTTGAGAACCATAAAATCCAATAACTTTAATAAATATGGATATTTTGGTTGAGACAAGCAGGAAAATGGATGTTCACTCCAGGGACAAGAAATTAAAAAACAGGTAGAGAAATAAACAGTGTAGTAGTTTTTGGTAAGGAGTAATACAAAAATTGTCCAAGGATATTTAAATGTCTTACCTGTTCACGATTTCTGTCGGAATTTTTATCATTTTCAGCAAAATCAACTCTTAGCTGCCGACCATTTATCTCGTAACCCTTAAGGTTGCGGCGAGCACTTAATGCAGTCTCTTCATCCTTGTATTCGCAGAATCCATAACCTTTTGGTTTCCCAGTTTCTTTATCAATCACTAATCTGAGGAGGAAAATAGAGTGAATAGAAAGATGAGAAATGCTAGGTGGACTCATCCAAGTAAGAAAAGGAGGAGGAGGAAGAAATCAGCTCCTATCAGATGAAAAAGAGTCTCCTTCAGTCAGTCATCCTCCACATAATTCCCTCTAAACAGAATTTAAAAATCCTTGCTGGTGATAAGTTTCCGACCAGCTGCGATAAAAACTTCAAGCATTCATTTTTTATTTATTTTTTGGAACTGGACAAGCATTCATTTTTATACAAAAGATTAAATGATATTAGGTATTCTAGCTGTAGAGTTCACTTTGTCCATTAGTCACCTCAAATCCTCAATCAGCAAACTAACATCTACAGGGATGCATGACCAGAAAATCAGCATTACAAAAAACACCGAATTTGGGATGATCAAAAGGTTAAAAGAGTATTTGTTTTATCATCTTCACTATTTTCTTACAGATACTATCATGTTAGTGCACTTGTAAGTTGGAAACTTGCAAAAGGACAGTCTTTTATATCCTCCTACGGATAACAAAATCAGCTGCTTTAACTAAATAAAACAAAGATAAAGCAGTCCCTGAGTCAATTAAGGGAGAAGGCAAAGAAAATAAACTGACCTGAAGGAAACAACTGGTCCAACTTCCTCACAGATTTGCATTAGTTGCTCCTCAGTAGCATCATATGGTATATTCCCAACTACATCACCCACAAATAAATTTAAATTACGTTAATATCCTACTATCAGTACTAATATACACACAAAAGCAACCCAGTGTGTCCGATTGGTTAAAGTTCTAATCTTTTCAACTAATTAAGCAACACAGTTTGCATAATTACAATAATCCAAACAGAATTTCATAAAACTGAGAGATACAGAAAATTAGGGGGAAATGCTAACCAAAAACGCGGCGACGCTGAGAATCAGAAGTGGCCATAATTGTTATAAGTTGAAGAAGAAGGTCCAGTGAATCCTTTCCCTCTTATAATTCGTGTCTCGCACATTCCTTTTCCTTTTCAAACTGGGATTAAGCGGAGACGGCATTGCCAGAGCTCGATGAACAGAGGGCAGGAAAACGGGTCAGCCGACCCAATCACGGCAGCCCATTAATTTTACAGTACTACTGCCTCCGTCCCATTTTAATTACTTCGATGGAGACCAAGTTTAAGAAATTAAAAGGAATTTTTGAATTTTTTTTTTAAAAATATTGAATAGAAAATTACACCTTTTGGTATAGAATTGAAAAGAAGTAAGATACTTTTATATTTTAAAAAAATAAAGTGAAATAATTTTTCGAAAACATGTAAAATGTTTGTTTGTTCCTAGATTGGTACGAAAGGATAAATGCTGATACATATGTATCAAGAAACACCTTCTAACTTCAACTATAAGGTTTAAATCCCGGACTTGGAGTTGGAGGGAAATTAAAAATGGGCAACTATTGACGACCTTCTTCTTCAATGAACATTAATATACTTCAAATAAAAGAGGAAGGTTGACAAGGATCGATTGGATATAATCTCTACCCTGATAAAAATAAGAATTAGATTGTGTACATCTTACTCTTCTCAAATCTCACTTGTAAAATCACACGCATTTGTTGTTGTTGCTGTATAAGATGATTAAATTCCACGCCTTACAATCACCTCTCCATTTGCCCTTCCTCATCCCCCAATTCTTAGTAATAATATTAAGAAAAAAATATTTTAAAAAGTGCTGAAAATTTTACGAAGTTGGAAAAAAGCTTTGCTACTTGAATAAACCAGCCAAGTGCCCTAAACAAAAATATATTCTTCAGCAATGCTTAAGGGTACGTAGGGTTACCAACATATAAAATGGTCAAAGACCTAACGCAAAACCAACTGGATGAAAAATTGAATATCATTGACAAGAGTTTCTAGCATTGCAGGTCTTTTTCTTATAAAAAAGAACATATCATTAACAGCACAAAATGACCTCTCAATGGCGGCATCATATACTACGACATTTAGACCAGAATATAAAGAAGAGAAAACTCAGATCCTTTCTGCTCCAACAAACAGAAAAAAAGTGAGTAGGCTAATTAATACATACAGAACATACACCGTCTCTATTCTCACAGAACTGTAAATGCTGATATAGGACAAAGCTTTTCATACAACTATAGCATCACAATAGAAACATCCTCACTTTCCACAATTGAATCCCTTGCAAACTGAGAGAACAATGATGAGGATCAAAGCTATCAGGATACCTAACACTATCAGCTTGATTTTCATGTTTTGCAACCACATCTTCCTCCGTATTTGGGTTCCCGTGTTCCTGAAGTCCTGTGCCTGTTACAATCAAAGAAGACACTAGCATTGGTTGGTGCTTTGAACAGATGGCACAAACTTCTTTTTGGGGCAAAAGCAACATGGAAACAACAGCCACCAGAACTCTATACAATAATGATGGTTAACTACAACAAAGTTGCTGCTTAAATGAAAACTGAGGCTAATTAATATCACAACAAATCTTTTTTTTTTTTGGAGGGGGGAGGATAAGTTGTCAACTAATATTATAACGAACTGATCAATTTGACAAGGATAAATATAATATCTTTAGACGTCAGGCGGATATTGCCAACCATCAATGGTAGTCCATCTATACAGCACTAGAACACATCTCATTACAACATACAGAAAGGGGCAAGCAAACAGGTAAGCTTCTTTTACTCCTTTTTTTTTTTTTTAAATGAAGAAAGAAGTACAAGCTTAATTAACTCCTTTTGTGTAAGTTGAGGATATGAGCACCATTGTCTCCCAACATCATAGGGTTACGAAAAAGTCAGACTAATGGAAGAATAAGGTAGGCAACAATCAAGCAAATCAAAGGCGACATCATCTTGTTGACAGGGCAACCCACCTTAGCCTAAGTTAGAATCCCATGCAATGCAAAAGGTAAGGATGGTGGGTTGTTCACTTGTAGCTCACTTATAAACCACATAGTAACATTAGCTAAGAGTAACCTCAAGTTGAGATTAACATGCAAAAAGTATTAATGAAATCCTATGAAGAAAGTTTGTCCATATGAAGATTGAGCACCAGTAAGAGTCAATCCCATTCCCAAATGGTAAGATAATACAAAAAGCAAACTGTAAAATAAAATTGAAACCATCTGATTTAAATTGTTCTCAATAGAAGGATTTAAATGCAAGTTTTAAAAAAATAAATATAAAATGATAACCTGGTGATGAAGGTTCTCTGTCTTATCAACAAGAAGCTCTATCTTCTCTCCACGATCAAGAACCTAGAATTTCGAACAATGATAACATACCACATCAACTCTCATGATGTCGACCAGTAGAGCGAAAACCATAATAACACATGAAGGAAAGATTTTGAAATGAGAAAAGCATTAGACGTAATCACAATAATCATTTCTAAATGGAATTTATGATTTGATAAGTAAGAAATCCCCCTGACCGCAAGTGACGCAAAGTTCAAAACTTGGGTGGATATTGGGGCCACCCCTCTACCCTTCTCCACTTGGATATCAGGCTTTTGTTTGCAGCAGAGTTGGAACTCGTAACATGCACCAAACCCGCACATCACTTGTTGTACTGTTACCACTAGACCAACCAACACCCTTGGGAGGGGGGGGGGGGTATGTAGCTTATGGATATTAATAATGGTTAATCGTTTTTGATATAGAATCACTCTCCAGACAATCAATCCTATACTTAATACTGCCTTCTAGTTTACTGACCTATCCCGTCTACAAGAACCACTTTCTTCAACTTACAAGTTGAGAGCAATTGCTAATATAAATAATCTTTAACATTTTCCACTCTTTTTTAAATATGACAAACATTAAAACTCCAAATATATTGATGCTTCAGACCCATCCTTGTGATCACATTATAATTATAACACTATATAATTGGGTTGACAGGAGAAGACTCCCTTCAGTCTAATAGTTTATCTTGTAGTAATGCACCTAAAAATTATTCAAGTGAACTAATTAGTAAGATTGTATGTAACTATGTAATGAGTTTATATAATGCAATCTTCAATTCTAGGAAATGATGAAGATTTGAGAAGTTCACTCTTCACTGACGGAGCTTGCCTGAGATCCCATTCCGATGTAATCACTTCCCCTTTGTTAGTAAATATTCCAAAAACTCCATAATTACAAGTTCTGAGCAGGTAGTCATTCTGCATGAATTGATCAACTTGCGCTCTACAAAATATTAGTGTTCTATACAAAAAAGATTGAGCTAAGAATGTAGTGCAGTGGAATGGAGTGGAGTAAAACATCAGTAACTATGCTAATGCAAGCTAGTTAGGTTCGGCTATATGAATCCTCAATATTCATTTCCCTCCATTTAGAAGTTAGCGTAATGATCAAAGAAAAATTTACAAATTTAGCTCAAGTATTTCTACAGTTGGCAGAAGGAATCCTCAGAACAATTATGAATCACATAGTTATCCAGGATATGGGGATTCAATAACAACATCACATAAGGAAGTAAGGACTAATCAACCATCAAACGATAGATGAAGAGACATTTTACCTTCTCAATGTTTTCCATCATAACACCCTTAACTTCTGAAACCTGTGCTTTCACTTTGGCAAGTTTGCTAATTTCCTCAGGATGTTCAGCACAATACTGCATATGCTCCTTCAACTTAGGGCTGCACTTAAAAGAGTACTGCAGTTAGATGACTCAACAGAAAGCTCTGCCTTCACATACCACTAAAATAAACTTTCAATATTAAATTACCCAAATTCCTTGTTCAGGCTATTAGGAGGAGCTGTCGCAGCCTTCCCACTCCCATATTTTGACATGAAATCATCCTTAATGCGCTCCAAAAACGCTATTGGAATTTGTCTTCCAACAGACTCCTCAGCAACCACACAGTATGCTGTAAGGAGAATTATAAAATTAGCATAGGTAAGTCCACTAATCAACTAAATGCAACATTGGTATATTTCTGGAAGTGCAAGAGAGCAGAATAACAAACAATTTTCTAATATCACTCAGATTCTCCTCTCATAATAGCTATTTAATTCCATAGGTTAGACACTCAGATATGATGCTCTTCACTTGAGGGTAAATATAAAATCATCAGATCACAGTAAAGTAAGAAGCTAAGGAATTGCATTTTGGAAGGTTAAACATTCTCTTAGATATACATCTAGTCTCTTTCCAAAAAATGCTTTCCAGTTGCTAAGAATTAAGAAAAAACCAGTTTGACTAATGATGATCACAGATTTCACATTAGTGCCTTAAAGGCACTATAAGTAACTGAAAACAGTTAACAGTGCAACTAACAAAAACACAACTGGGACTTCAGTTCCCAGTGGCATGACAAGCTGTAGAAGAGAGTTGGACACAAGACGACATGGAAATTAAAAATATCAAAAAGGCAAATTAAATGATCTTGACCACCAGTCTCTTCTTTCCTCCAGTGGACAAACATAAAACATCCAAGAAATGTGATCACAGAAAAAGTGAAGCCAGTAAAATATGTGTCATCTGTGTGTGGGTAGGGGATTGGTTTTTAATCTACTACATGAACGTAGTAAACGTTTTGCTTCTCTTCACTTCCTCCCCCCCCCCCCCCTCTCTGACTCTTTTTTCCCCTTAATCTTGAAAAGATTCAATCCACCAAAATTGTTCTTCTGTGCTAATTTTAGTTTTTGGCCAGAAACCTCTTTCTCCTTATATTATTATATTATTCTAATGCAAGTGATTTCTGGATCTGTGGAGGAAAGAAGGACAAGAGAGTTTTGAAGCCGGGAAAATAAATGAAAAGAAATGATTAGTTGAGTTTGGTTTTCTTATTAGATAAAAAATATGTTATTTCAGGAGAATAAATGGAGTCTAAATTGTATTTGGCTGAATCAATCAATTGATGTTGAAGAAAAAAACTGTGTTACAGAGAGGGTGGGGTGAAGAGAAATTGTAAGGAGAATTGAGAGGGGAAAAAAAGACAGAGTGACAGGGAATGAAGATACCAAATGATGCTGGACAGTCGGGTTATTTTGGTGAAGAGACCAAGAAGTCTCTTTATTATGCAATGTAATAAGCAATTAAGGGTATTCAAGGAAAATAAAAAATGAAGACATTGCTAATCTACTACCTTGGTGCAGTAGGTTAG